ATTCACTGTGTGCTTTACACAGATGGCTTTTACGATATTGAGGTATGTACCCTCTATCCCTACACTATGGAGAGCTTTAATCAACAAAGTATGCTGTATTTTGTCAAATGCTTTCTCTGCATCAATTGAGAGTATCATGTGGTTCTTGCCTTTCTTTGACTTATGTAGTCTATCACAGATTGATTTGTGGATGCTGAACTATCCTTGCAGCCAAGGAATAAATCCCACTTGGTTGTGGTGAATAAACCTCTTACTGTACTGTTGGATCCTACTGGCTAGTATCTTGGTGAGAATTTCTGCATCCATGTTCATCAGGGATATTGGTCTGTAATTCTCCTTTTTGGTGGGGTCTTTGTCTGGTTTTGGGATCAAGGAAATGCTGGCTTCTTGAGTTTGGAAGTTTTCCTTCCATTTATGTTTTTTGAAACAGCTTCAGAAGAATAGGTATTCATTCTTTAAATGTTTGGCAGAAGTCCCCTGGGAAACCATCTGGCCCTGGACTCTTGTTTTCTTGGGAGATTTTTATTTACTGCTTCAATTTCCTAGCTGGTTATGGATCTGTTTGGGTTTTCTATTTCTTCCTGTTTCGGTTTTGGTAGTTTATACGTCTCTAGGAATGCATCCATTTCTTCCAGATTGCCTAATCAGCTGGCATATATTTGCTGATAATATGTTCTTATAATTGTTTATATTTCTTTGGTATTGGTTGTGATCTCTCTTCTTTCATTCATGATTTTATTTATTTGGGTCCTTTCTCTTTTCTTTTGGTAAGTCTGGCCAGGGGTTTATCAATCTTAAAATTCTTTCAAAGAACCAGCTCCCAGTTTTGTTGATCTATTCTACTGTTCTTTTGGTTTCTATTTCATTGATTTCTGGCCTAATCTTTATTATTTCCCTTCTACTGGATTTAGGCTTTATTTGCTGGGCTTTTTCCCCCAGCTCCTTTAGGTGTAATGGTTAGGTTGTGTATTTGAGACCTATCTTGTTTCTTGAGAAAGGTTTGTATTGCTATATACTTCCCTCTTAGGACCACCTTTGCTGCATCCCAAAGGTTTGGAACAGTTGTGTTTTGTTTTGTTTTGTTTTTTTAAAGATTTTATTTATTTATTTGAGACAGAGAGAATGAGAGAGAGAGCACATAAGAGGGGGGAGGGTCAGAGGCAGAAGCAGGCTCCCT